GGAAACACATATACGAAATGAAGCGTAGTTTTTATAGTATTATAAATTAATAAGCACATTTTGACAATGTTATGCTGATAACTAATCTTCGCACAAATATTGTGTATGAACTATAATAATAGTGATAATTAATTTGTCAAAAGTGAATAAATTTATATCTTGCATTCCTAGCGAGCATGATCGGAGTAACCGATTAGAATAAAACTAATGATTGAAAAATGATATGAGAGAAATACATATACGAAATGAAACACAGTTCTTTTAGTATTATAAATTAATCTGTACATATTTTACCAGTGTTATGCTGATAACTAAATTTTCGTACAAATATAGTCTATTAACTATAATTATAATTCATTAGTCGTAACCATATAAATTAGTATTTCACATAACTAGCATGCATGTTTGGGGTTACCGGTTAGAATGAAACTGATTGAAAAATGATATTATGCTGATAACTAACTGATATTTCGAACAAATATTGTGTATCAACTATAATAATAATAATTCATTATTCAAAAGCTAAAAAAATGACATTTTACATGCCCAGCAAGAATGTTTAGGGTTAATGTTTAGAATAAAACTAATTACTGAAAAATGATTTTAAGGAAACAAATATACGTAATGAAATATAATTTTTTATTGTATTATAAATTATTATGCATGTGAATTTCAGCAATGTAATGCTAATAACTAATTAATCTTTCGTACAAATATTGTGTTTCAACTATAATAATAATGATAATTCATTAATCAAAAGTTAATAAATTGATATGGTATAAGCCGAGTATGCATGTTTGGGGTTACCAGTTTGAATAAAACTAATGACTGAAAAATGATTTGGAGGTAATACATACACGAAATGAAACATACTTTTTATAGTATTATAAATTAACATGCACATTTTAGCAATGTTTTGCTGATAACTAACAAATTTTCCATACAAATATTGTATATAAACTATAATGATAATTGTAGTATTATAAATAAATAGGCACACATATTTTTGCTATGTTATGCTGACAACTAATCTTTCGTACAAAAATCGTGTATCAATTCCAATGATAATTAATTAACCAAAAGCTAATAAATTAATATTTTATGAACTTAGCATGCATGTTTTGGGGTTACCGGTTTGACTAAACTAATCATTGAATAATGATTTAAGAAAAATACATATAAGAAATGAAACAGTTTTTTTTTAAAAAAATATTATTAATTAATGTGCACCTATCTTTTCTAACTATGCTGATAAACTAATAACTTTCATACAAATATAATACATTCAGTAATTAATTGGTAACGATAGTAATAAATTGATCTTTAACATACCTAGGATGCATGTTTGAAGATTACCGGTCAGAATAGATCTAATGATGGAGAGAATGATTTGGGAGAAAAACAAATATGAAAGAGGTTATGAGTTGGTCTAGCGTAGGCAACTGGTCGAGCATCTCAAAAGCAGTTCGCCTACTCACTTACTTTGAAGGTGGGGAAAAAGTGTGTTGTCGATTTCGCGAAAATGCACGTGCTTTTTTTTTCTTCTTTCGTCGCATCCCGAACAAGTGTCATCGACATCCTCCCAATTTTGCCTATTTCACTCACGTTAATTATCGTATTTTTACTGTTAGAATCATTTTTTTAAATAGTGCTATTGGTATTCCCAGTTTCTCTCATTTTTGGTGTCAAGCGCAATACTTATTTCTATTTTATCCCAGTTTCTTTGGTGATTACTTACAGATTTGGTGAAAACTTAGATTTTCGAATAGGAAAGAATTATTGCATAAATGCTTTCAAATTTAACAAATAGGTAATAGCTTTTTTTATCAATAAAATATTAAGTTTTTTCTCCGATTTTAGTATTCAGATTTTAAAATATATGTGGGAAATGATATTCTGCGTATACATAAATCGAAAATATTGTTTTTTTTTCTTGTTTTTTTTCTTTTCTTTTCTTTGCTTTTCTTTTCTCTCATTTTTTTCTTTTTTCTTTTTTTTTTCTCCTTGCTTTTTTTGTTTGTTTTTTTTTGTTGCTTTTTTTGCTTATTGCCTTATTTTCTTTCTTTATAAATTTTGGAAGTGTTATTTGTCCTACAGATCCACGTGGAATTAGCATAAAAACTATTAATCGCTTTTTTCAATTTCTGGTGTTCAGATTTTAAAATGTAAATAATGGAAATTATAATTATCATACAGAATTATGCACAGTTCGTAAGGAATACACAATCACCCTTTTCTCAATCTGATATTCAAAATTTAAATTATAAATATTGTGGATGATATTTTTCATACAGAACCAAGCAAGATTCGTACTGTAACATTCTTTTCAATACTTTTTTCACCCTCTCATGAGTTTTTCACCCCTTTTTCGAGTAAATACGGGTCTCTTTCCTCTTTTGATAATTTTTGATTCCCATTTTATTTTTACATTAGACTTTTACCGTTTGATTTATTTACGTGCGTACGTTATGTTTTTTTTTTTGGCACTGTATAGCCGGTACGGAATCTTGTACCTTTTTAAACGTTTCATTCAAACAACTAATGCTTCACGTCAATACTTTTTTTCCAGTACTATAGTATTTCCTTGGACCGAGATAGCCTGGTTGAGGTTGGGCGTTAGACTCGTGTCTGTGAGAACGGGAGTTCAAATCCAACCAGCCGAAGAGTCCCCGTGTATTAAATGGTGACTGGTGCACGTTAAATCTGACGGAGTCACAAAGTCCTCCAAGCTCCCATAACATATCAATACCTCTGGGAGAACTGGTCCAGAAGTTCCCTTGTCTTCTGAATTTGGTTCACAATTACAAAGCTACGGATTTGAACATTAGTAGATGTAAATCCAAAATTGGGCCGGCTATTCAACGACAGCTATAAAACAAAATAGCATTTCCTAGAATCGTGATGGCTTAGGGGATAGAGCGTTCGCTTTCCAATGAGATGAACCGGGTTCGAATCCTAGCGATGACTGGTCGATACGAATTCCGCATCCGGCTTGCACTGAACACAATGCTGATGTAAAATTTCCTCAGTGGTAAACGGAGCATGGGTTAGTCCCTCCTTGCCATAAGGCTAACATTGGGAGGTTTTCGGGGTTTTCCTCTCCCTGTAACGCAAATGCGGGATAGTTCCATCAAAAAGTATTCCACAAAAGGTAAATTCCTCCAAATACTTGATCCAAGAGGTTGGGTTCAACATTACGAGGCTACGGAACTGAGTTGAGCATTAATAGTCGTAAACCTAAAATTTTGGGTCGGCTGTTCATCGACGAGTATGAAATATAGTATTTCCTAAAATTATGTTAGCGTTTAGGATAGTTATTTATTTTTTTTTTTGGATGTACTGTTTTAATAACTAATAGAAATACAAATACAACAAATTTAATTTGATTCAACAAATTTTGACTTACAAATTTAATTTCTTTTGTTCCGCTTTGTTTTTCCTTTTATTATTATATTTCAAAATGGCCCATGAAATAATTAAATTTTTACAATTTCATAGATATTTAATTTTTTTTCATTCCTTAGACTTAGTTAGGGTAGACATTATTTCTTTCTTAATGCAGTCATGGCCTAAATGCATAATAAGTAACACATTTAATAAGCAATTAAAACATATTTTTATGTAGTGTTTTTTTATATATATATAAATAAAGACATTTTTCTTACCTTAAAATTTTAATCCATTGTATCTATATATTAGAATAAAAATCTAAATTTGCAACTGGGATAGCTTTAAGAAATTGAAATGAAAAAATTTTAAAAATTTCCCAATAAACATTATTTTGTCAGCACTATTTACTACCTTTTTGGCTAAATACATGCTTAATATTTATCTCCATTAAAGTTTTAGAATATCACAGAGTTGGAACTTGAACTTATTTAAAGTAAAAACTTAATATGCTAACTTTATATAGGCTTATGCTTACCTTAATTTCGACAGGTGGTATTTTAAGTTACAAAAATAGATATTACGAAAACATACAATTTCTAAAAGAACATAAATTTTTTCGACTGATTTGTATTCTTTCAATTTAGAAGATATTATTCAAGCAGTTTTTAAATGTTGGTTATAAACTGTAACGGAAAGAAAGCAAACTTATCTTCGCGCTGGAATAACGTGAAACTAGTGCAAAATGTAAATTATTTTATTTATATTTAAAGCATTGTTTTCAGCTTTATGTCTCTAGGTAGAATTAAGCTTAAAAAAATATTTGGATGAACCCAAACACATTTTTTATTTTTGACTGATCAAATAGAGTTAAAATTATTATTTTTATTTTTACTTTTGCAGTTATTGAGGGACAGATTCCATTTCTTTTTTCCCTGAGTTCAAAATTAAATTCTGCGATATTTTTTTTTTACCAAAGACGGAATAAAAGGCAAAACTACTTTTAACTAATTACATTTTTAGCTTCATTGTTATTTAAAAACTGGAATTAAAATTAACAATCAATTACTGATAGCACAACAAAGCGATGTCCCTGCCTGAAATTCAGATAATTTGCTTCGCATTATCTTCTAATTTCTCCTTTTTTTATTATGTTCTCTCTATTCAGATTTCTTATTTTTAATGACGTTTTTCAATTCTAATTTCTTCTTGATTTTATTCTGACTTATTTTTACTCTTTATCTTTTTATTTTTATATTCTGTTTTTGTTTTAATTCATTCTTATATTTTATTGCAATGCTGATTTGCATTTTATTTTAAACTTTTCCTCTGAACTTGCACTTTCCTTTTTTAAAATATTGTTGCTCTACCTTTTCTCCGTAAATAAAATCACTTTTCTTTTTGTAAAAAAAAATGACAAAAGCAGTATATTTTGCTATTTTATTTTTAATACTATAATTAATTTCAAAATCAAAAATTTTAATTTAACGATTCTTTCGTCTATTAAAGAGTTAGGTTGTCAAAATATCCCTCTAAGTTATATTAGAATGAAATAATATTTTCTGATTTGTACGCATAACTCAGATTAATTAAAAACATATCAATGTACTTACCAAACTGTCATGAGAGTAGATCGGTAAAATCCAAATGTATTTTGTATTTAAAATTCCAAATCGCCAACGGTGAGATTCCTCTTTGCAAACTTCTCAAGAAAATCACGCTAAGTAAAGATTTAATAGTAGATAACTCTTCAGATACCTCCAGAAAATGATCCGACGTATTTTCATTTATTTTTAATGAAGGTTTTCTAGTGTCCAGCAATCCATTGAAATCACTGAAGGTCTTTGAGTAGAATGTTAAGGAAGGTAACTATCTCTCTCTTAATTCGAGACATTGGATTCTTTTTCTGGAGATTCTACAGTTTCGGTCTAAAGATCACATTGTGTCCAGCCGCCTCCTCCCAAACCTTGAAACTGTTCGAATTGTTATCTTTTTTAGAATGAAAGTTAGCGATGCATTTAGAAACACGCGAAAAGGGGGTGCCAGGTGCTGTATTACAAGGGGGGTGAGCTCGTCCAAATCCACTTTGAGTCTCGGTTTGCTGGTGGGATCAACCTTATTCCCAGAAAAGTGAAATTCGACAGATGTAAGTTTTTTGATGAGGGGTGGTCTGCGACACACAAGGATAGATAAAGAAAAAAAAAGATCAATGTGCACCCGATGATAGCGTTATAATTGAGATTCAACGACAGTCAAACATGTTGCGATCAAAGAAACAGTTAGGGGTGAGCATGGCATGAAGTGATATCGCGGTTGTCTTTGAATTCGGAACCAAGTTGCAGGAAATACGCAAGCCTTATTTTTTGACACACGCAGATTAAGTGGTCTAAAAAAACTACATTTACTCAAACATTTCGTTTTATTTTGTTGTATCAGTACATCTATTTAGTTAATTGGAATATTTTTTCTGATGGAGGTAAAAAAGTATTTTTTTTTTAAATAAAAATAGATTTATATGAAAATATTTTTTTATAGTTTAAGTTTGTGCACACAACGTTTTTACAGTCATCCGTGGGAGAGCAGAATACCTTCCTTTATAATTTGCTAAGAAAAATAATAAGATAAAAAAAATAAGCATAAGAACTAAGAGTTAAAGTAAAACTTGGACAACAATTTAATGATAAGTTTGCCAAAACATAAATTATTTTGCATAATTGTCCTGATTACTAAGAGATTGTTTTCCTCTCATCTTCTTTAGCTTAACAAGGGTTCCACGAGTCCACGAATCTCTGATAATTTTTGTCCCTTTATTTATTATTTTTATTTTTTGCTTATTTTTAATTTATGTCCCAGAATTAGTTAGATACCATTCGTTTTTATTACAAATAATATTTATATTTAGTTCAGTACACCAGCTACCGTATTTTGCGCTATTTATCTAGAAATAATTAGTTATGCTGAAATTCCGGAAAAAATTTTGGTGCCATTTATAGTGTTGAGAGAAATTAAAATTCGTTTACTTAGTGCATGTAGTCACATTTTTCTTTATTTTTTCACTGATATAGTTTTACTAATTTATTTATTCATTTTTTGTTTCCTTACTAACAACACATTTTCAAGAGCAATCAATATATGGCTTCATTGCAAAAGCATTTCGTTTAAAGCATAAGTTTTATAATACGTAATATATTTGCACTAATTCTTTCAAACAATTGTTATTTTATCAGTGTTATATAACTCTTTCTATGATAACTATAGTTCTGTACTATTTAGATTATTTACTACAGTTTATTTAGTTTACCTCAAATCCAAAGATGATGCCAACAACACTGTTTTTTTACAGTGATGAGAAAATATGTAAGAAAATATGAATTCAAAGTGTATGAAAATTACTATTATCAAACATAAAATTAATACAAACCTTCTTAAGTTGTGAAAGAACTAAAATTGTTTGAATTTTTTTATGAGTGATTTTTGCAAAATTTAACAACTAAATATATTTTTTTCTGAACAAAAATTTAATTTTCCATTAAAAATGTATAAAATGGTTAGTTTCTAGGAATAAAATTACTTTGATTTATATCTGTAAAACATAACTAATTTCTTAAAATAATAAACAATAACAAACTTCTAAATCGTCATAATGGTTTGTTTATTTTCTTATATATTTGGGAATAATTTAAAAATTCTAATCGAGAAATTTATCAGACTAATTTTTGTTTATGGTTGCGTTATGTTATGCTATGATTGTAATAACAAATAAAATCACATTCTCGTTTGAATTAAAATTAATTAATTGTCGAATATTATCTTCATTTATTGAAAACTATTTTTCTCGGAAACAAATATCAAAATATTTTTAAAATACCTCGCTAAGTTATATTTGTTTCTACTGATATTTCAAGTAAATGACTTTGTTATTCATAGATCCAAATTATCCGTAATTTATTCGAAATATAACAATTGTATATTTGAAACATGATGGAATAAATGTTGAAATATCATAAATAATAAATGTTTTTATATGTTTCATTTTAACTTGCACAGTTGGAAATTTAAATATTTACATCGGCTGCAATGCAATATTTCTGATTAGTTTTTTTCGCATTTAACTTTTATTAAGTTTCTTTTCTTTATTATTGAATCTTTATGATCATTTGAAGAAGAAAAAAAGAAAGAAAATTCAGCAATTTACATTTTTATTTCAAATGTCTTAAATTTTATCCAGGATTTAAGGTAAAAAAAGCTATTAACCAAAAAGTATCTTGTACATGTCTTTAAATATTTCTTTAAATTAAGAAAAATTATGCGAATGATTGATAAAATGACTCCTCAAATTACAAAGCTTTGGAACAGTTTTCTAATTTTCATAGACGATCGTTTGATGAAACAGCCATGAATAGTAGAACTTGGAATCGTTTTCTAATTTTCAAATAAGTTTGTTTAATAAAATTAGCATGAACAATGAAACTTCAGAATCGTTTTCGATTTTCAAAGACGATTGTTTGATAAGATAATCATGAAGAATGGAATTTTGGAATCGCTTTCTAATTTTCAATTTGAAAGCTTTATCGTTAAATAAAATTAAATATAGTGAATTAGCACTAGTTTGTAAACAGAGAAATATTTGAAAATAGATTCTTTTTTTTTGTTCAGAAAATTTAAATACAGCGTTTTCTTTTAAGTAAATATTAGTTGCCAAAAGCTTTAAATCATTTTTTTAAAAAAAAACAATAAACTACAGCAATAAAGAAATATGGCAGACAGATTTTTTAAACAGCTTTTTTCAGTAAAGAAGAACAAAAGATTTTACTTTTTATTAAAATTTTCCAACACCTGATAGAAAGGTGTGCTTCTTCCCTTTCCCCCCTTGCCAGGTGCCTGACTCTTTAACGGAATCGATAACTCCCATTTTAAGTAGAAAAACAGATTTTCCAGCTGTTAAAGCTCATATTCCTCCAACTATGAATTAGAGAAGAAAAAAATTAAACGAAGAATATGGAAAAGTCGATACTTTTAAGCGTCTGACACGTGAAAAGTCTAAAAATGCGTGCGTTTTTATTAATATTACAATTTTAGATTTTATGAAAGAAGCAAAGCAACAAACACATGAACCCGTTTCGTTTATTATTTGTTTGCCTGCATTAGTTCAATATGTTATATGAATTCTATTCTATCATTTTAGCATTGGAAGTAACTGTCGTCTGCGTTAATTACTATATGGCTTACAGACTCGTGTATTAACATTTTTGATTGGTTTTTTATTTACTTTTATTTTTTTATTTGCCAATAAACTATTTTTCAAAAATTTTTACTTAAAGATTATGAATTAAGTGGAGTTAGTCAATATTGTTTACAATTTCATGGAATTTTAGGAAGAAATCGTTAAAATCGTTTATGTAAAACGTATGTGTTATTATCGTTTTAAAATTGGAGTTCGTTTATTTATGAGAAGAAAACGAAATGAAAAATAAAATGAAACTTATATGAAAAACAAGTTAGAAAAGCAAATTTAAAATAAATCTGAAACTAATTTGTTATTTTTGACCAAAAAATAAGCATTATTTGATTTTTTTTAAGTATATTTCTATCAAGATTTTTTGACCAAAAAAAAAAAGGAAAAAAAACTATAAATCCTTCTAAAGAACAGACACGAAAGATGGAAAATACATAATTTATCGAAGTCTTAGTTGTTTGAAACCACAGCACGTTAGATTATTTAAAAATTTAGTAAAAAAATTTCATGAACTTCTACATTTATTATATATTTAAAAAATTTTATAACTTTTTTTAAAGGAAAATGGTTTTTACTGATTGAAAGCTAAAATATTTCTGAATAATTATTTTTTTACTTTTATTCAGTATATAATACTATATTTCCTACTTTTTATGGATTTCTCATAAAGAAATTTTGAAGTGTATTAAGTTTTTCAAAAATTCTTCATTCCGCTAAAAACCGATGCCCATACACAGTTAAGAACTCCATTTCTTATGAGTATTATTTATTTACAATACATGGAAAAATAATTCAATATAAAATTAGAGCTAATTTTTGAGATTAATAGCCAAATTCCTTAAATTTGGCATTAAAAATATATAATTAATACTTCCGCATTAATTATTTATTCTTAACACTCCCTTTTTACTCTCAATTCTTTTCATCAGAGAAAAGTTATTATTCTAATATGTTTCTGATTTAAATAATTATTCTACTCTATTATTCTTACTGTTAAGGCTTCAATTTTGCAGCAGTTTGAGATAAAAAGGTGCAGTGAAATATAAAAATTTAATAAATATTTTGATGAAATTGTAATAAATATTTTAATTCATTTTCTTACACCACGGGACGTAAAGATTAGCATTGAAAAACGTATCGTTGGAATTGCATTAACAATGTCTTACAATTACGTCATTTCAAAAATTTAGATACCTTATTAAGTATTGATTTTGTTTCATAAATATGGGTACATATAAGTGGTATATATGAGTAGATATGAGTATATATGGATATATATGGGTATAAATATAAATATGGGCATAAATAAATTTCATAAATAAATATATATAAAATTACTTAATATTTTCTATTGAAAATAAAAAATGGTTCAACATTTTATGAATTAAAAGACTAAAAAACTTTTGACTACAACTGAAATATGGAATTCATGTTACCTATTCACTTGACCCTTTTTAGTAAGTTAATTTCACAATCTCATTATTTAAAATAGTTTCTTTTTCCTATCAACCAACCAAGCAGAAAAAGTAGAAAGTTCGAATTTCGAAATAATTTTCAGCGTTCTTTAATATAAATTAGAGTTACTTTTAAATAGCTACATTCTCAAAATACCAAGTATTGTTTTCAGTTCATGAAGCGGTGAAAAATTGACAGTGTCATTGTTAATAACAATCGAGCTAATTCTCTCAACAAAATACGAGGAACTGATTCCAAACAAGTCACTAACCTCTCCGGAAACAAATAATGCGGAAAAAATTCTATTGTTTTATATTTAATTAATTGTTAAAAACATCATTTTTAATATTTTTACCAAAAACTTAAGAATCATGTTATTGCTTAATGCTTTACTATTTTAGTTACTTTAGACAAGTCTTGATATTATCGCCTTTTTTAAATAGTCACTATTTTGATAACAACAATCCTATAGGATAAAATGATTTTATCAATGTTATTTTTCTTTGGTTAAATTTCAAGCAGGCATTTTTATTTTTGTGACAGCATCCACCAAAAGGAGCTTTATTGATAATAAACTCTTTTAAGATCAAAAATTAAAAATATTTTAGCAATCTTTAATGATCAACTTTAAAATAAACAAGATTTCATTCCAATACACAGCGTAGTTTTTTTGCCCTTAGAATTTTCGAAAGCTTCCCATTTGTTTCAGTTGCTACAGTTGCTCAAATCATCTTGTTAAGATTTTAAAAGTGTTTTTTTTTATATATATATATATATCCCCAAAACACAGAATTTCTATATCCTATCAAGAAATTTTCTATGATGTCATCTTGAAAATGTAACATTTAGATAGTATTTGAAAAATTTTCGGAACGTTTATACACATTTAGATAGTATTTGAAAACTTTTCGGAACATTTATACAAATTTAGATAGTATTTGAAAAATTTTGGGAACGTTTATACAAATTTAAATAGTACATATATGAAAAAGTTTGGGAACGTTTATACAAATTTAAATAGTACATATATAAAAAATTTGGGGAACGTTTATACAAATTTAGATAGTATATGCAAACTTTTTTTCATTTATATTAAAGTAGTATATGAAAAATTTTAAGTACTTGAAAGTATTTAGGTAGCAAAATGTACTACATTTGAACCCCCAGTGAGCATATCGTTCAAGAAAAGGAAATAAGATTTTCTTCAAAGGTATTATAAGATGCGCTTATAAAGAATAGTATTAAAAAAGATTATCATACTCTCATACGGTTACAGAAAGAATTTCAAAGTTTTCAACCACTTTTTTCCTTGCTTTTTGTGCTCACAGTAGAAAAAAAAATAGAATAAAATAAAATAAAATGGAGTTGGAACGGTATTTTCAACACGAATAATGGCAATGCAAATAATGGAAGACAAACAGAATAGACAAAAAAAAAAAAAAAAAAAAAAAAAAAAAAAAAAAAAAAAAAAAAAAAACAGGTTGCAGCAATCAAATTACTGGGTCTTCCATCTTCGTTCTTGTCAGAGCGTGTTCTGTACCTTTCTTCATGTTAAAAAGCATGTTTCCAACACCATTTCAAATTTTTCACCCCAATTATATTTCGATGAAAACTTCTTCCATAATATTAATATATATTATATAATTATGTAATATTGTTGAGACTGTTTAAGATGACGTTAACATAATAGTAAATAAAAAAAACATTAAACTAATAAACATTGCAAATTTTGTTTCTCACTGTGCCGGTTTAAATCCTTGTGCGTGCATGTGCTGAAAGTGGCAAGCAAAAATTTCATCATTTTAAGGAAATTGCACAGTTATCGTTAAAAATTCATACCGAGTATATGCGGTATACGTGCTCGTAAAATCTGTGGAATCGAAAGTCCTGTGGTTGGTCACTTCCCCTTCAAATCTATGTCTAAGTTCAGGAAGTGACCTTACGAATGATTGGTGCTGCCATCTATCCGTGGAATTTTAGGTCAATACGTACTTTCACCTTTGCGGTGCTCTCTTGTCAAGCAAAAGTGAACATTCCTGACTTAATTCGCGAAGCCGATGTCTGGCGAGCTTGGCTTGTCCAAGTGTCATTAGAAATAATAACAGGTATGTTATACCATTTTAATATTAACCTAAATGAGCCTTCGCTATAAGCTTAAGTGAAAGCAAACTGGAGATGCCAATGTCAAAAGGAGTGTCTTATTCCCCAAATCTTCTAGGCATTCCGAACATTTTATTTTTATCAACGTCAAATAAATTTCCTGCCTTATGAGAACGCTACAACGGGGAAAAAACTTTTCATGACAAATTCTGTTTCCCTTCCTTTGATCTTGACAATTTACAGTATAGAGAAAAGTGAGTTCTAATTTACCTAGAATAAACCATGAAGTTTCAAATTTTGAAAAAAAAATGTTTTCAAAATGTTTTGAGAAAAAAAAATTAGCATTTGAAACTACATGGTTGATTCTAATTAACCTGAAAACTCACTTTTTTTTCATTAATTTTAAATTACTTTTGTAGAGGAAAAAGAATCTGACATGCAGAAGTGTAAGGATGTCCGAAAGAAACTCCTCAATTAGAATTAGGTGTCCCGAAAAAATGTGTAATGAGCTAAAGGGGGCAAATGGAAAAAGGTGAGAAAATATATATAGATATTTTTTGTAATCAACTCCTATTTTTTTAAATTCATATTTATATTAAAATTAGCAAAAATTATTCTATGGTAAAAAATTTATTATTTGAAACAAAAATTTTTTAAAATTTTGAATGACTTACGACTCTAATATAAAATTTGTTTGAAGATCCCATTCAATTCATTTCCCACTTGCTTGTACCAAACATGCATTAAAAAATTAGTTTATTAAAAATAATTAAATTTTAAAGTTTTAGTGTCCTTGGTCGTCGATTAGATTACCCCTTGACTGCCTAGGGCCATTGTTTCTTTGCGCCCCTTCCCTTTGCACGCGATTGACCTCTCTGTTACCTTGCAATTTTGAACCCCACTTATAAGACAAAGAAATTTTTAAAAGACATGTGAGGACAAATTTGTTTTTGTTTTCTGAGTGTAAGTAAATGCAATATTGATGCTATATAAAATTAAATTTTAAATTTCCCTAATATTGATCCCCCTTGTCATTAAAAAAAATTGATCATTGAAAAATTAATAAAAAGAGGTTGTTGCATGGAAATTGCCGATTAAACGAATTATAGGCAAGAATCTTTTAAACCCCACAATCAGTTTAAAAGATATAGAGAACTACGCAAAAAGTAAAATTAGCATTTAGAGAACCCAAATTCTCTACCTCTTAACGTTTGTGGGCATATTTTCCTATTTTCCAAATTTTTAATCCTTATGAAATAATTAATATAAAAGTGTTTTTGCATAAAAATGTCCTGTTAAACATAATTGTAAGCAAAGAATCTTGAAATTTCCGTAATTAGTTTAAAAGATATAGAGAACGCAAAAGGTAAAAATAGCATTAAGGAATCTAAATTTTCTACCTCTTTACTATTATAAACATATTTTCCAATTTACGCTTGAGAACCGTCGAAAAATATAATTTTTGAGAAAAACCCATTCTTTTTATGATTTTATAATTTACTTAATAATCATATCTTAGTTAGAATATTTAAGGAAATATACCTCCTTTGAACCATTAAGACTCAATCTATATTAATGAAAATATGTGATCATAAAGTCAAAAGATAATCAAGATATGACTTTTTTGCACACTTTACATTACTTAAAAAACACACATCAATTAAACATCTATTTCAGACATAATCAATGTGAAAAATGAATGCGAAATTTAGTGTGCGAATTTTAAAATACAAAGCAGGACGTGAACCATAGAAAATTTGAAAATGTGATTTACTGAAATATATGTAAAAAATATAAAATTGAATTATAAAAGACAACTTCATTAAAAGTCTGAAGTAATTCTTAGTTTATTAAAAAAAAACGAAAAAGATTGCTTCTTCCTTGTTAGACTTACATTTCTTTCTATACTACACTTCCAATTATTTCTTAAACACGAATTTCCTATTAATTGTAACTCACATTTTATTTTGACTCCCATTGAAAATGTTTTCAGAGGTAATAGTTGCAACTTTTTATTTTTTTATATCACATGATTATACAACATAATCTCGTTTCCCATTTACTTTGATTGTACGAAATTACTATGTAATAAAGAAGATAAAAGAGCTTTAAAGACAACTAAGAAAAACTGTAGAAACAGGAAGTTACTTTAAACAAGTTTGATAAATGTCAGATGAAGAGATGCAAAATAGGTCACTCTGTGGCATTTAAGTTACTACAAAGCAATTGAAACTCGGAATTTTTTTTTATAAAGAGTGACAGTTTGTTAAAGCTTTATGGAAATACGTTTTATTTCTTAACTAAATCGATAAAAAGCTGTTACAAAGGCGAGCTTAATCAATTTCAATCAATAAAATTCTTAATCGCTTAAACGCTAAATCAAATAAAAAAAAATTTATGTTTGATATATAATGTATGTTTTATAATTATATGGACTTTTTTTTTCACATAAATAGTTACAAAGACATAGGAGAATATACAAAACGAGAAAATAATTAATAATAAAAGGTCCAAACTTACGACTGCTTTTTTGACTAATCCAGAGACTCCAACTACTACGGTTTCTCCGTAGTTCCAGAAGGAGATTTTTCCTAATGGTAGCAAGGATAGTATATTTTCAATATAATAAATTAGAACTAAATGAATTTTGTCTTACACTAAACACAATAACTTTAAACAGATGCATATATTAAAACTTATAAATGAATGCTGAAGTTCTTAAGTTCTAATAATTTTTTAAGAATTATCTGCTTGTCTCAAAAAATTAAACTTTACTTCCTTAACACTGAAAAAAATTATTCGAAACTACGGATAAACAGCAGTAACACGGAGAATCCGTTATATCGAGGGTTAATCTACATTATACTCCAACTTATTTTCCGAATCCGTTGTTGGAGTTTCTGCTAATCCGTTGAATCTATATTTTCCAGATTACGGCTACATCCCCCTACATTTCATAAGGCTCAAAAATCTAATATCGTCGTTAACAAGGCTTCTTAACAGATACATGTAACGAATCATATTAACGAATGTTTAAGTTTTTAAGTTCTAATATTTTTTTTTAGGTTTGAAAAATTCCGCTCTAGTTCACTGCAACTGAAAAAAATTATTCGAAACTTCAGAGAATCCGTAGTAGTTGTTGGAGTTTCTGCTAATCCGTTGAATCTATATTTTCCAGATTACGGCTACATCCCCCTACATTTCATAAGGCTCAAAAGTCTAATATCGTCGTTAACAAGGCTTCTTAACAGATACATATAACGAATCATATTAACGAATGTTTAAGTTTTTAAGTTCTAATATTTTTTTTTAAAAATATATATGTTAGGTTTGAAAAATTCTGCTCTAGTTCACTTCAACTGAAAAAAATTATTCGAAACTACTGAGAATCCGTAGTAGTTGTTGGAGTTTCTGCTAATCAATTGGGTCAATATTTTCCAGATTGCGACTACACCCCCCTACATACTATGACGGTCAAAAATGTTAGACCGCCGTAAACAAAATTTCGTTTTTTCTTCTTTTTTTTTTTTAAAGTGTCAAATTTTGTAATTTTAAAATATCATTTACACCAAATAATTGCGCCTTATTTAAGTTTAGACTCTGGAACCATTAGGATTTCGTCTTAGAACACAAGAAAATCCGATCACTAGATCAAAAGTTATAGGTGTTCCGATTTTATTTTGAGCACTGTGCAAACTTAAATAATTGTATGCATAAATATAAATGAAAATGCGTGCAATAAAAATGTACACACGAAACATAAAAATAGCCATTTTTGAAAATAGCCCTAAAATGGCCTATATTGTCATTTTAGTTATTCTTCATTATAAACGGTGATATAACATTTCATACGTATTGACTATCCTCTCTCAGTAAATTTGACCACCAACAACCAGTAACCTTGAAAATAAAAGCGTAAAAATAATGAAGCAAACTGTAATATCTATTTTTAGAGATTACGCAAATGAAGATCTGTCAAATTGACAACGAGACGCATTTAACCGCTTAACCTAGTTCACATTCTGAGGGAGACGAATATATAACTATTATGCATATGAACAATATTTTTATGCACTTAATTAGAATTTATGGCTCACAATTTTTTTATATTACCTTACCAACAAGTTTACAACTGCAAAAACAAAGTGTTATAAAGTTAAAATCTTGTAAATGTTTTGAAGTTAATTATGAAGTTAATTTGTATTCCTAACATAACAGCTCTCAACAAAACGGATTTAAAAGGAGAGAAAAAACAGTCATAACAATAAACAACTTTTTTTGCCTTTGTAATGCGTTAATAGAAAAAGAAATGCATATATTTAAAAATAAGTGAACATTTTTGCGTTTATATTTATTTCAACGATGAAAATAATTTTATTGTATAAGTTGTTTTAAAAATCAGTGTTTAAGACTGCATGATATAAAATGCGTCATAATTCTCATGCATATTTAAACTGGGATAATTATAATTTCTTGTATCAATTATTTTATACGATGACTTTCTTGATTTGCGCCAACAAAATTTTTAAACAAATAATTATGTAAACCAAAAAAAAAATGCTTTTCTTCATTATTTCTGCTTTTTTTCTTTTGCGCACAGTACGAAAAAAAAAATAAGGAAACACTTAAATAACTTTTAGTCTAATGATCGGATTACTATGTACTGAAATGCAATTTTATTGATTAGAGAGTAATTTTGCTATGGAACCTTAAATGATCCAGCTTCTTTTAGCGGAACTCCCTGCATCGTAAAAAAAGAAGTTCCTTAGCAGCTACGAATATACTAACCAAAAAAGAAAAGGACGATACTTTTTATTTTGAAACTATTTAATGTGTAGATATTCAATATAATATTATGAGTTAATATTCAATATTATGAACTATTTTTTGCAGTGTACAGTACTGAAAATAAATAAAATAAAGCTGAATTATGGTTTTTAAAAAGGAACTGTTATATACGATAAGAATAGTTATTGGAAAAATTTTATTCTTTATTCATGAATTTAGTTATTTTATTTTGAATTGAAAAGTTTGATTGGAAATATTTATGAAACTTTTATAAATATACACTCTTTTCATAATTTATTCAATATATTGTTATTTAAAAATATATATTTTAAATTTTGCTACGTTTTATTCACATTTTATATAAAGAAGTTTTTATACGAAGCGAAATATCAAATAAGGGATCATTGGTTGGATATAAATATTATTATTACTGATTAAAAATATTTTAACTCTCGGAGCCTCAGTCATCCTTCCCCTTTATAGAACACCTTTTACGAACAGCTAGTCTAGAAAACCATTATTAAATTATGTCCATTTTTGTACTTGATTTGTGCTTTGCTCACGTTGTTTTATACTTTAGTCTAAGAAATTATTTTTTAACATTTGTATCTTAAGATAAACAAATTTTACAATTGTTTTCAAAAAAATTTTAAGTTCTCTTAAATTTTTCCTATAGTAAGACAAAATACACTAAATCATACTAAAGAAACAAAAACTTTTTCGGCAGCTTTCCTGCATTAGTAA